GCAAGACCGTTTTCGTGGCCGCCCACGGCAACTCCATCCGGGCCATCGTGAAGATGATCGAGGGCATCTCCGACGACGTCATTCCCGGCCTCGAGATCCCGACCGGCACGCCTCTCGTGTACGAGCTGGACGCGGACCTCAAGCCCATCGCCAGCCCGCTAGCCGTGGAGCCCCTCAAGTTCGGGCGCTACCTGGGTGATGCCGCATCTGGGCTTTGATTTTGCAACATCTTTTTGTTTTCTGACCGAAAGGATTATCCGACTATTGTTACCATAGGGTCTGGAATTAGGCATTTGATTCTTGCTTTGCACTGCTCTGCTCAGGAGAAGATCAAGGCCGCCGCCGAGGCAGTGAAGAACCAGACCAAGGTCGGCTGAAGCGCTGGGCTTTGGGTGAGCTAGTTTCCACAGCCCTTCCTGGACATTGTTTCAAGCCAATTCTGCATGGCCACCTCTTTTCCAAAAGGTCTGCAGGCTGCACACTGCACCGTCAGTAGCCAGCCTCTGGCCACAACTTTTGTGCGGCAGCTGTGCGACTCTGTGACGAAAAAAGTCCTGCAACTGCAAGGACTTGGCCTCAGTACCTGGATGCCAGGGCGACATGACAAAAATGAAGCGAGAGTAGCAAGCTTTGTCCTGGGATGATCGTTCTTCATCCCTGTGTGCACGCATGTATTTACTTATTGTAGGGCATCGATCTCAGAACCCCTCAAACCAAGATTCTCTCAGAACCAGTCTAGGTGGTGGCGCTTTTTCTTTTGCCCCATTACCTGACATGCTCATAAGCGTGAGGAGGTTTGCATGACAGTTTTTGCTACAGCTGCTCAAGCGCGACCTGTTCCTTTATCTTAGCGCCTTATCCAGCCATGCTTGCAACAGCCTTGGTGGTGAGCTTGAAACTCCACAGCGGACAAGCAGAATGTTTTGTTTTGTTTAATCCAAAACCCACATAGCAAAACTACACTCGCGCTTCACTCTGAACTGTTTGCAACAAATTTCTACTGCACATGGAGACAGAAAAGGAAAGCTGTCTCCAAGATCGTCATTATTTGTGCAGGTGGGGCTTACCTGGAAAAGGCTGGAGTGCTTCACAAAGAGATGCGCAAAGGCGTGTCAGAAGCCTTCGCAACCGACCTCGGCAGTACAGCGTTTGCTTTTTTCTTTTATGGCCTGGAGAAAAATGCATGAACCATTTTTGAATCACTGTAGACGTACACGGGAGGCTACCAAAAGTCCGGGCCAGCATAACCTGCAAACACCGAAACCAGCCATACAAAGCTAGCCTCGACTTCCGAAACCATCCACACCCTCAGCCTTTAACCCTCTGGGATCATGTACCTGTGTTGAGCGAGTTCTTCGACAATGGCCCTGTAGAATCCTCACTTCATTACGGGACCCACGCACTTCCTGCGCAAACCCCACACAATCCTGGAATCCCTGAGAAACCGCTAAGTTGTAATGCAAGGGTACCCAACAATAATGACTCCCAAAGACCTTCCCAAAGTTGTCTACCCTGAGCACGCCGCATATCGAGTACCCTACCGCAGGACAAAATTGCACATACTCCCTTTGAAGGGACCTCAGAGATCCCCCCTAAACCCTAAGGCCCTAAACCCCAAATGGGAGTTTCCCAAAATTAGGGGTACCTTTTTGGGGGTCCCTATAATAAGGACTATAGTATTTGGGGGTCTATATTGGGGTCCCCTTATTTTGGGAAACTACCAAATCCCGTGAAATCCTTCAAGGGAACTTCAGAGTGGGTCTTTAGGTAAAGCTCCTTTTGCCATGTCTACTCTTCACTCGGATCATTCCCACGATGTCCCTCGGAAAGGTATTGAGTAAGGTTTTATCATCTAGGCTTGTAGGGTCTTGGGGTTCAGGAGGGCTTTAGTGGTTTCAGGGTTTGGGGCTTCAGGCTTTCAGGCATCAGGGCAAGTGCTTTTCGAGCCGGGGGCTGAGGGTTCGGCACTTCGCGGCTTTGTAGTTCAGGGTTTTCAAGGTGTTTAGGGTTTTTAGAGCGTTTAGGGTTTTTGGGGCTGAGGGCTTACCGGCCGGGAAGGATCATTTTGGACTCTCAGCCTTGTCGCATCCTCAGGTTCATGCTGGAACAGGGAGGGGCTGATGATTGTCGTTAGTAACCTAATATCCTAACAAGTCAGACAGCGAAATGAGCCAATACTGGGCCAAACTGCGTTCAGTTTAGATAACCTAAGCCCGAGAGCCTAACCTAAAACCCAGACCTTCAGACAGGTCAGCCAGACGGATGAGGTCGGTAAAAACATGAAGCTACGGGCACAACACCATGTATCAAGCACACACACACACAAACACCCTAAGTCCTAAACCCACACATCGAGAAGTGTACCAAGGCAAAACCCTAAGCCTAAGCCCTAAACCCCGAACCCTAAACCCTAGATCTTGATCCCCAAACTCTGAACCAGTGGCCGAGGTCTTTGGAGACTTTGCCAAAGCTTGGTTGGTTGGCCATGGCTAATCTTTTGTATGTGTCGCTCGGGCTTCTTGGACGATGCTTAAATTGTGATTTGGGAGCACGGAAAATAAAGTGGAAACTACTATTTAGGATTTAAGGTTTAGGGTTTCCTGTGCCAGTTGGGTTTCGAGTCAGACTGCCTCTTACTGGTACGACTGTCTTGGAGTAGAAGGAAAGAGACCTGGCTTTGGAAACTGCCCCGTTATTACTTGTGGAAGTCAGGATGTTGGAAATTACCAAGCACGATCATTACGGAGCCTGTTTTAAGTATGCATAGGACTAAGGCCGGGCCCAGCACGGGTTTAGGGCTTCTCGGTCTGGGAGTAGCGCTCAGTGCTGATCTGCCTTCGGGCCTCTCATCCAGGCGTGGACCTCAGCAAGCCTGCAGCAAAAGGGCTTAGATTTCAGAATGCGCTCCTGAATGTTTAACACCGCTTTCGGAAAGTCTTGCTTTGCAAAAAGGCACCCTCCCCCCCCTAAATGAACATGAACCTCACATGATTCCCCTTCAAGTTCCCTGTTTGCATGCGGGTGGTTCCCAAAGTTAGGGTCCCATTTTGGTACCCCTAGATATTAGGTGCCGTAATATAATCCATAACCAGATTTGGGCCCATAATTTTGAGAACAACCCATGTGGGCGGTAAGGCTATGTATTGGTTACCTGGCCGTTTTGCTGACAAACCCTCCTCGCAGCATGCGACGAATATTGATGGACGCCTGGCCATCCCTCTTTAAGGTCTAGGGCTTAGGGCCAAACCCCAAGGGCTTAGGGTTTTGGATTTAGGGTTCAGGGCTTCTGGTTTTAGGGTTTTCGGGTTGAGGGGGTAAATATGCTTCGAGATTGAACGTTCGGCTGGGATTTGAATATGGAATAAAAGTACATACTCCCAATAGAGCACGTACTAGTGAATATTTGGGGGGAGTGAGTATGGCTACTAGTGGAACAGTCCTGTTTACCCAGCACAGTCTCCAGAGGCCTGGATGCAAAAGGTGGTGAAGTTATCAGATGGCGGTGTGTACTTGGAGAGGCATGGGGACTTAGGACCAGGATGGACCAGGAATGTAACTGGAGTTAGTATATAGTTCATGGGGGGCCATAAGCCGTATGATATTTGTAGTTATCCCTTGTCTTATACCATTTACTGACTCCTACTAACTCCCATGTTTCACAGGGGCTAAAAGTGTACTTACTAAGTCGCTCTGGCATCTCACACGAGCTACTGTCAGGGTGAGTGTTATCAAACAAAGGACTATTAAGGGTTTATGGGTTAGGGTCTAGGGATAAAGGATTATGGTCTTTGGGCGTCTACATGGGACTGTTGGAATGGAGAATCAGATGGCAAAGAAAATGGGAAATGTTATGGAATTTACATGGTTTATGACATGTTTTTGAGCTAAGCAAGAGTGAAGCTAGCGCTTCCAGAAAGGGGTCTAAGGTTTAAGGTTCAGGCTTGGTCATAAGAATTGCGCAGACGCCGATATGACAAAATTGGTATGAACTAGCTGAGGCGACGCCAGCTATCGGACATGCGAACTCTATACCTTTTATGCTGGTCTCTCTGGTGATGACGGAGGACCCTGCCTTCCAACCAGGAGACAGTACCACAGCACAAGGACCTGGGGTGCTGTGAGTGTTCCGGAGGGCTTCCATAAGGAGGGGCAGGAAAAATGCGTACGAATTATTAGTCATAAGTAGCTATATAGGGATTATTTTAATTCCAGCGATCCGCTCATTCGCTCCTCAGGCACGAGGAAAGAGAGATGTGCAAGCCAAAATCGGCACTTGAGGGTCTGATACGCAACTTCTAAACAGGAGTAGGCTTGAAAATGTTCTGAATTCTTATTGCCATATCCGTTTGTACTCTCTATAAAGCAATTGAAAAAACAATAGGGCTCCCAAAGCTACCCTAGTAAAGTGGTGAAACAAAACCTGACACACGCAACTGCCCTGACAACTTTTCAACGGCTTTGTCAATGCTTCATCCCCCACTGGTCCTCTCATGTGTTCAGTTTCGGGCCCTCACAGAACCGCAAAAGCGTTGAATTGGCACTGCACCATGAAGGCAGAACAACGTTGGTCCTCAATGACGGAAGAAGAGATTTCTTCCTTCATCATATGCATGTTCATAATGTCAATGATGGACTTTCTCTCGTATGTTTCAGGGTCATAAAGCATAGAGATCAGAGAGCGTTGCCGCAATCTGAACTGGCCAATTTGTAGCAAGCGCGAGGCGTCGTTGCATGCAACTATAGACTGCCCTAGGCTCCTGAGCCATTGCCCCTTTCCCGAGAGTAACATGGAACTCCAGGAAGGGACCCGTAAAGATTGCGACATGGGGTTTCATGTTTGTTCGGTGAGGGCATAAACCCTGAACCCTATACATCAGTACATGGAATGCTGACGCATATCTCCTAATAGACCCCCCCCTTTCGTGCGTATCACGCTTACGAATGAGGGTTCCCCATTCCCGGTAGGCCCCATAAACCCTAAATTGTCTAACTGCCAAGTGGAGAGGCTACGTCGGCTTATACTTGGTCATGCACAGCATCACCTTGTGGGGTGTTGGAATGAATGTCATCAAGAAGCTATGGCTCCAATTATAAGGTTTAGGGTTTAGGGCTTTGGTTCCTTACACCCTAGACCCTAAACATTGGGTTTGGGACGGCCAAGGGCTTAGTATTAGGATGGATGAGGGCTTAAGGGAGGCAAGGTGTAGGTTGTCCAGGGAGATCTTTTTGGTGGGCATTTCCTCTCATAGAATAAGCCTCAGTTACATAGTTCAAATTTTAGTTTTCCAGTCTCGCCATACAGTATATGTCGCCTTGTATAAGCCTTATGTACGGGTACCCACCGGGTAATTTCACGCATGGGATTTTTCTGAAGTCTTAGGCTTGGTGAGGTCTAGCTCCTTGTGCTTTGCATCCTGCTTGTTTCGGCTAGCTCGGCTAGTGCCCATCTATCCTTCCTGCCGTAGCTTGTCGCGTGGAAAGATTAAAGAGGCGTGACAAACCAACATGAATCAGGTTTTGTGATGAACGCTGTGAGACGCATGCAGCTTGCGAACATTCTGACTAGATCTTGACGTTGAGTAGCCTAACATCCTGCAGTGGCATGGGCAAACTGCGCGGTGCGCATGTCAAGAGAACAGGAGAGAACAGGAGACTACTAGTTTCAAGACAGCCCATGGGTCCCAAAGCACCAAGCCCCAAATACTGAATCAGGGAGTCTTGTCCCCTGCAGCCCATAACCATGTTTCCTAGACCCTAAACCAAAAAGTCTCAAGCCCCAACCCCTAAACCCCAATCCTGAGTCTCAAAGCCAGGCATCGGCTGCAAACTAGTAGGTTGCTGTTAAGAAACGTAGATGAAACTAGTTACTATAGCAAGGAGACCCTAGTATTTACTGTACCCACATTATGGTAACTTAATTTAAGTTCCTAAACCCTAAAACCCTGAAACCCTGAATCCTAAACCCTATATACCCAATGTGGTTGCTTATATTAATTTAAGTTCCTTAAGAGTTACCCAAGCTAAGGAAGGAGAAGGAAGACGAGCCCGCTCTCACGGCTCATGGGCACCTTGGGCTGTCCTTGTGGGGCGAATTGGGGGCTTAGGATTTCGGGTTTGGGTTTAGCGTTTAGGACTTACTGTTTGAAGTTTTGGGTTTAGGGTTTACGGTTTAACGGTTATGATTCATGCGTAGGATTCGTTGGTTTCAATTTCAGGTTGTTGGGATACGAGTTTTGGGGCATTAGGGCCTCTAGCATCCGGGGATTAGAATTTTAGGCTTAACGCTCCTTGTTGTGATGCTGGGTCTTTGGTGGTGGGTCTTTAGGTTTGGGGGTCCAGGGGTGTCTGTGTCTGGGGATTGGGGTGCTTTATGCGTGTGCGGAGGCTAAATGGGGAACCTTGTGGAACATTCCCATTGCTGCGGATACCTTAGCTGGACCCCCCGCCCTGTGCCTATAACGGATAACAAGGATTATATTCGGGTCCTCTTATATTCCCATTACACCACTATTACAGGGTGGGGGTTCCTCCTAACGGATAGATACCCTACAATATCTGGCCTGAGTTTGGGCAACCATCCAAATCCCAAATTGGGGACCAGTATTGCAGCGCATGGTCCTTCCCTTCCAATCTTTCAGCTTCCCGTTGTGGTCATGGTCCAAGGACTCCCAATAGTCAAGCAGAGGACAGCCGCTTTTCTGCAGCTCAGCTCGGCCCCCCCCCCATGTTTAAGTCAAAGGTTTGGATAATGTTGGGCCCAGGGAGCCCAATACCCCTTAAGTACGTTAGCAGTAAACCCTACGCCCAACCCTCGTGATTTACTGACCCAAGGCCAAAGGCCGCAAACGCTGGGCCGTGCTGCAGGGTTGGGCCTCGGATCGGGACACAGTGGTGGAGCCATGAGCGTCAGCGAGGCCAAGAAATCTTCTCTGAAGTCCTGCGGGGACGTCATAAAACAAGCTATAGTCTAAACTCCTTAAGAGGGGTTATGTGGGGGATTATATAGGGGACTACTATAGGGGTGATAAAGGGGGATACTAGGAGTTTAAACTATAGCTCAAATGGCTAAACAAACTCAGCACTACGAGTCATTGCGCCAGTTTTAGTACTGTTAAACCCTAAACCCTAAAAGACCCCCTTTAGCGGCAGGCGCGTGAAGAGCAGTGGTCGCATTCGATTTCTGGCTTAGAGCTTGGGTCGCCGGTCACTTCCAGCGGACCGAACACGAAAGGCCAGAATTACAAAGTTCCTATAAATGGATTTAGGGAATTAGGGTTTAGGGTTTAGGGATTTTCTAAGGGTATATGGGGACGTATAGGGAGACATACCATTCGGGGTTGAGGGTTGTATGGTGGGGATGTACCCGCCACTAAACTAATATGAAACCCCAAACAGGCCCTCCTGAAAAGGACAGTAGTCTATGTAGGGCCCATGTCAGGTTCCACGTTAGTTTTGGGGTAGGGCGCTGGTGCTTGGTTTAGGGGGTTGGGAAGCAAGATAGTCCCCCTTAAGTAGATAGACTATGGCTTTGGGTATGTTATAATAAGATTCCATATAACCCATATTCTATCTACTTAAGGGGGATTATATATGTAGGGGTCCACCCCCCTCACTCCCCCATTGAAAGCCAGAAAGACGACTGAAGCTTTAGGATGGGTTTGTGGCGCACCTTTTATGGCTAGGGGTTTGGATCAAGTGTTGGATTTAGGGTCCAGGAACTGGGCTCTAGACTAGGCTCGGGATTTAGGATTTTAGGGTTTGAGGTTGAGGATTGAGGATTTGGGATTAGAGTAGGGTTTTGGGGGATATGCTGCGAGACTTTACATGAACCAACCCCCAAACTAACATGGAGCCTTAGTTCTCCCATTCAACATAGGCAACGCTTCCATGCAACGCTTCCATGTCAGCTTGGGGGAGGGTGGGCCTTGCAAGTGCTATTTTTTAAGTGGACCCCCCACCCGTGTATGATAGTAACTACAAGGGATGATAGGGATGATGTTAGGGTCCTATTATATTCCCAGTATACCACTATTACAGGGTGGGGTCCTCATAAGCTACTTTACAGGCCAACAGGCGATCTGCGACCCCAAATCTTTGCGGCGCTTCGTTCCGAGTCTTGGTCGCCAAGGATTGCACCTGTTCCTGGCAGAGTTGCTGTAGTGGTAGTGATAACAGTTGTTATTGATAGGATGCGGCCGTGGAAGGGCCGGTGGGGTTTTGGGGGTGGGGGGGGATGAGAACGTACGTTCTTTGGTTGCATCCACAGCAACTGCAAGCTTCCTGTAAGAGTCCCGTAGATGCATGCGGCTTTGGGGATGGATGCTGCGTTTGACATGTTTTGAGGAAGCGGCGCATTATTGCACCTTTGTTCCTGTTTTTGTAGACGACCGTGTATGATCCATGTTGTGCGTTTCGCTGCGGTGTTAGCGCAATTTAAGATGATTTTGTGTCGCTGTGCAAACGGGTTTGGAAAATGCCCTTTGAGCAGATTTTATGGGAAGTATCTGGCGCTCAAGGCTTCAAGGTTATGCTTTCGGGAATGCTTCGCAGAAAAGTATTGGGGTTCTCAACTGATCCACCGGATGTTGCGCAGTGGCATGATCCCCCCCCTGCATGCTCCATCATGCTCAAAGTAAGCGTAGTTGATAGCTCCTTTTTGTCGGCACGGTTCGCACGCGCGGCCGTGGAGCAAAAGCGAACTAAAGCAAGCGACTTGAAATGCGCGAAAAACACAGGAAGGCGCACAATTTTCCGCATCAATGCGCGACGAAACAAAATCACATTAAAATGTGCGAAGCATGTTCTCTCTTTTTTAAATCCTGTTTTTGACAGCAAATATTCCTCCGAAATCGCGCTTGGCCCACAGCGAAGCGCGCGAAATGGATCATATGTGCTGGTCTATTCAAATAAAAAGGTGTCAACAATTTGCCGCTTTTTGGACATCAAAAATGTCGATGTGCAAAAGCTAGTGCGTTTTGGCGCATGGCAAAAGTGTGCCTTGTTATTGCTCTAGCAGAAACAGTTGCAGCAGTGGCAGAACTAGCACAGTGGTGGTGGCGCCAGTACTAAGACGAGAAGTGCTACCAGCAGCCAATGTCCAGTAAGAGACGTACGTGTGTATTTGTAAAACTGGGGCTTCTCCCACAGGTGCCCCAAACATCCTACAACCCTCATCTTTGAGAACCGAAAAGGTACCCCAATGCGGGAAATTTCAGGGCACAGAGGAACCATGAGAATCTCAACAGCAACACCCCTGCGTACAACTGTTCTTCTCATAGGTTGGTTGCTGCATACTGCCCCACCCAATAGTGCTTGAATAAGATTCATTAGATAACGGCATCATTCCCTGTATTGTAGATTGTTCCCGGGTGCGGGCAGTACCCAACCTAAAACCTACAAGCAGCTGTTGCAAGATTGCCTCGGCAAAATCCGAAGCCCAAAGCCGCGATACAGGTTTGGGCCCCCTTGAGGGTTGAGAATTTAGGGCGATCAACTGTGGAGAGCAGTTATTGTTGTTGTGCGGCCCACCATAGGGCGTGCTTAAAGTTGCGGCCCGCGGAGCCCCCCATCTCAGAAAACACTTCTTAATGAGACTGACTTTTTCCTGATGAGCTACCAGACCTGCCCCCAACCTTGAAGCACTTCTCTGGAGTAGATCTTATCAGACTTAACCTACAAAAGATTGCTGGGGTCCTAGAAAATGTTTCATACGGTCCAAACTACTAAGTGACACGTCAACAGTGAAAACCCAAACTGTAGCATTGTACTTCAGCATTATTACTTAAGTTATATAGCCAGGTTATAACCTGCATCCCCTGACAGTTATACTACTGTAGATAACACTAGTGTGTCGCAATATGCTGCTAGCACCTACTTAGCCAAGACGCTACACCCCCCCCTTGTCCATTTCAGTTTCCATTGTCCCGTTTGGTTCTCCATTCATACCCTAAACTCTATATATCCATTCCCATATACAAGGACCATATGATTGGTCGACCTCGACCTAGAAGCCCAAAGAAAGGAAATGGGTCAATCGGCCCATGGCTACGGCCATCCTCTCTGCTCTTCTTGGACTGATCCCAGGGCTTCATGGAGTCCTTGTGCCACTTGGGTCATACTCTAGACTCCTTAAAGGGGGTTATGTAAGGGATCATAATCTAGACTCCTTAAAGGGGGTTATATAAGGGATCATAATCGAACCAAAAAGGTTGGATCTAAGTTTGGAAGTAAGGGCCCGGTCTTTTGGCCGTCAGGGGGATTCTAGGGGCCAACAAGGATAGTAATAAGGCATGAGTCAAGATCCGCACTAGGGGCGTACGGTTGTAGTTGTAACCTTGATAGAAGGGGTTTCTGGGAAGCTCAAATTGGAGGACTCTTATGGATGCTAGGGGTAGAACAGGATTGCGCGTGGATTGCAGGGTGCCGCCCTGGGTATTGTGGTTACAGCAAACAAAAATGGAACATCAAAATGCAATGATGCATGCTTCTACTTCCTCCTTGCAAGACAGCCAAAGAGTTTTAACACGGAAATACAATGATTCATGCTTCTATTTCCTCTTCGCAAGTCTTGCTTGGGGTAGAGGGCACGGATGTCTTCCAATCTTCTGGCATTTAGGGTCGTGGGAAGGATTCCAGTCGAGAGTCGAGGGAGTTGGGGTCATAAAAAGGCCGAAGTGCCCGTGTGGTTTTGGGAACAGGGTTTCGAGGAGGTTGGGGAACAGGAATTCCGATTGGGAACTATTCCAACTCTGGATATGTAGGCAATGGTATCTGGCCTTGTTGCAGCAATTCCTCTGCCCTCTGCCTGGAAGGGCGTGCGTGGTGCTCATGCCTAAAACCCGTGAGTTTTTGCTTGTTGGATCAACATTAACATGAGGGTAGCAGGGTTTTGAGTTAGTTTGCGGGGGGTTAATGTAGTTGCGGGGGGCTTGACCCTGAATCCTGACCAATCCGGCTTGGGTTTGAACCTCCCACAAGAACTTGAGGCCAGATTCGGGGCCGCTAAACTTCCTTTTTGGAGCCATGAGACTCTGGCAGACTTTGGTGCTCTTAGGGTTTGGGTGTAAAGTTTAGGTTCGTGGGGGGTAGGGTCTGGGGTGTTGGAGTTTGCAGTTTTGGGGGTTTGGGGTTTTGGGTTTAGGGTCTGGGGTCTTGGGGTTCTAGCTTGGGGCTTAGGGTTGTGGCTTACAACCCTGGGCTAGTCCATTTGAATGTCGGTGTTGAGGCCTGAGTGTTTCTTGCAAAAGCCGAGGGCAACCCTAAACCCCGGTTAATGGCTTAGGGTTTATAGTTCCCCTTAAGTAGATAGAATATGGCTTTAGGCATATTATAGTAAGATCTTCATATACTATAAACTTTCAAGCATCCTGGGTGCTTGCGTGAAAGTTTTGACGTTTCACATCCTGGCACCTAGGATTGGCCGCAGCCCTCAGAGTATGTAAAATGATGGCCTTCGGGGCTGTTTCTAGGGGGTTGGGGCCTTTGATGTTACCTCCGCAAAAGGCGTAAGTAAAGAGCAAGCCCCGGCGCCTTTGGACTCCTCCAAGCTAGCATGTTGACTGACCCTTGGTCGCTATGCTGTCCTTTTGAAAGTGGCCTGTGAGGTTAGTCTGGGGAGTATAAGAGCTTCAGAGCGGAGGGCGTTAGGCACTGTTGGACCTAAACAGATAGAATCTTTAGGGATTATATTACAGAGGTTAGACATGGATTGCTTAGGAGTTATATATACAAGGTTTAGGAAGTTGAGCTTTTTGACAAGTTGTCGCTGTATTCCGGCTTCTGTCTCCAGGCAGGCACGCCCTCGAGCTCCAAAATGATTTAAACATGAACCCCAGCCCTTACCCCCAAAACCCCAGGAGCAGTTTGGGATCGGCGGGCCCGGCGATTAGTCTGCTGGCTGTCGGCGCCAATTTCGTAGCGGATGGACTCCTGGCTTCTTATTTGGTTCAGCGCAAACAGCTTAATGATTTATGGCTTGAAGCGCTCTTATGTAATAGCTGACTTTTTTTTTCCTTTCCACCATTGCCTGCTGAGAACCAGTAAGTTTAGGGTGTAGGGGTTTAGGATTTAGGATTTGGGATTTAGGATACCAGCAACTTTCTGAGGATTTCCCCGCCCGTCCTTGATTGGCTATGTACCATTGGTTGCCCTCATTGTGGGCCGACTTCTGATTCTTCCTGCTTGCTGCATTGCTCTTTGGGTACCTGGGTCATTGTTGAAACCTTTTTGTAGTTCTCATATATATATATGAAATCACAAAAGCATGTTGAAATCGCATTGTTAAGCATATCCCAATGTGGAGCCAGGTAACTCTCAGGCACTACACAACTTTCTTCCCAGCTGATCCAGCACTGATGCTGGTGATGTGCATTGAGTGCTGCACACCCACAGCTTACAACCTGGTGACCGTCTGCATTCTGAATGGCGTCGGTGCCAAGGAGTTGACGGCCGGACTGTTTTACCAAAATCTGGTGGCAATTTTTGCCCTCACTGCATGGACCACCGTAATTATGTCTTTCGTCATCTAGTTGGGTGGCTGCTAAAGTTTGCGTAGGCATAGGTCTTGGCCATCCCGTGCCATCAACAATTCGACAGTGTACAGATGCGCAAGGCTGACTACGTACAGACATGTGGTGAAATAAACGCATGCCGTTGGTGCAGACGAGCGGCATCCTGTGTACAGAAGCTGTGGACAGACAGATCCACGGACTTAAGCTTTACAGCTGCCATGAGCAGAAGGACTTCAGCCTTTCAGTAAGGCTTGGCAAGACGCAGCTTCGCATCAGCCCATGAACGAAGGCTTGCTTTGCTTCGTCCTGGCGTCTGGGAAAGTATGCGAAAATTTTCCTGAAGGAATTCTTCTTGTGCGGTCCATGACCCGTAGACTCCCAGATGTCAAAGCCTCGAGCCCAAGATTGGACAATTTCCATCCGAATCCTGGCCTAGGAAGGCAACTGCTACCCAAAAGTATCCTTTTCAGGTCCACCGTGTTGCTAGTGTTGATCTATCCGGGGGGCATACGAAAATAAGCTGGCTTGATCTCCAAGTAATTGAAGGCTGAGCGACACATTGCAAAGATGGGCCCTGCCATTTCAAGCATGCATGCGGGCGCTGCTATGCATCTTGTTCTCCGAGTCAAGAAGATGGATAGGCGCCAAGTCGGATGTATGCTTAGCGGCTTAGCGACCAAAAACAAGGACTGCAATTCTAGAGTACTATTTGTTTGGCATGCAGTTCAACCCTCCCTCCTTTGAGCAAACAGCCCTAAGCCCTAAGCGCTAAGCAACCCCGTTGCGCATCTTCGACGGCGTGGCCTGCGGTTTGGGGGTTTGATGCCATCGGAGAAATTATACTTGTGCTCGTTGTTGCTTGGGGCCTCTGCGTTTCTCGGGCGTTTGTATGGCGGATCAAGAGACGGAATTCGATAATATATATTATTCTTATATCTCTCTGTCGAAGATCTTGAATTCCTGAGATAATCAGAGAAATCTCTTGGAAATTCGTAATATCTTTTATCAAACGCTATAGATAAGGAAAAAAAGGTCAGAGATTTGAGATATCATTTTTAAATTGAGATGCAGAGAATAGGTGTATATATATATATAGTTATCTTTATATATTATGAATATTATATATATATATGAAAAAAGATGTGCTTCTAATCTTTATATAGATTTTTTTTAGAAATTGGAGAGGAGGAATATATTGAATATTATATATCATTTTATTAAATGCTATTGATAGATTCAATTCGTGATTCTTACATACGGAATAGGATTTTCTTTTTTTCTTTTCATAATAAAGACGAAAAAGAGAGAAAATTGATTTGAGGCAAAATCTTCATTTATACTATGCCTAAAAAAGAATGATTGTTTCGATCGACTTTTTATTCTTACGAAAAGTATAGAATTTTCTTTCTCTAAAATTATAAGAGACATATATTTAATTTGAAAAAGATAGAAGCTCTAATTCTTTATAGGTAATTTTTTTTCCATCGTAAAGAAATTCAATAGGAGCAACTGTCAATACTCGTTTATAAGGAATTTAGTAGCCGCTGGACATGGAAGGCCAAAACCCTGTCAAGCGACGGGAACATTAAGAAGCGACACCCCCAATAGATGAGCCAAAGAGGGCCTCATGCCATGCTGAGTAAAGTCATGACCATTTCTCTCATTTCATAT